GTCGTTGATTTCTGCTCTAACTTTTATGATCTCTTTCCTTCTGCCTGGTTTGGGCTCCTTTTGTTGGTCCTTTTCTAAGATCTTTAGCTGTGAAGTCAAGTTGTTTATGTGGGCCCTTTCTTCCTTCGTGAGAAATGCTTGCAGAGATGTAAAATTTCCCCTTAACATGGCTTTAGTTGCATCCCACAGGTTCTGGTAGCTTGTGTCTTCATTCTCATTTGTTTCCAGGTATCTTTTGATTTCTTCCTGGATTTCTTTCCTGCCCCACTCCTTGTTCAACATTGAGTTGTTTAATTTCCAGGTGTTTGATTTGGTTTTCTGCGTCTGTACATGATTAACTTCTATATTCAGTGCATCATGGTCTGAAAAGATAGTTGATACAATGTCTATCTTCCTGATTCTGTTGAGGTATGCTTTGTGGCCCAGCACATGGTCTATTCTAGAAAATGTTCCATGTGCACTGGAAAAGAATGTGTATTCTTTTTTGGAGGGATATAAAGTCCTGTATACTTTATACAAAGACAGTCGACAGAATGGGAAAGGATATTCACCCAATACCCATCCGATAAGGGGTCGATATCAAGGATATACAAAGCACTGGTTGAACTCCATAAGAAGAAAATATCCAACCCCAACAAAAAATGGGGTGATGAAATGAACAGAAACTTTTCCAAAGAAAAATCCGAATGGCTAAAAGGCACATGAGGAAATGCTCTATATCACTAATCATCAGGGAGCTGAGATATCATCTCAAACAACAATGAGATATCATCTCACATCACAGAGACTGGCCCACATCCAAAAGAACAAAAGCAACCAGTGTTGGCGAAGATGTGGCGAGAAAGGGATCCTCCTTCACTGCTGGTGGGAATGACAACTGGTTCATCCCTTTTGGAAAACAGTATGGATTCTTCTCAAAAAATTAGAAATTGACCTCCCATTTGATCCAGCAGTACCACTCCTGGGAATATATCCCGGAGAGGTAAAAAAGTATAGTTGAAATGACATTTGCACTTGTATGTTCATTGCTGCACTGTTCACAATAGCCAAAATTTGGAAAAAACCCGAGTGCCCGAGAATAGATGACTGGTTAAAGAAACTTTGGTACATCTACACAATGGAATACTGTGCAGCTGTTAGAAAAGATGAATCACTGTCACTGTCACCGTCCTCCTGTTGTTCACTGATTTGCTCGAGCAGGCCCAGTACCGTCTCCATTGGAGACTTTGTTGTTACTGTGTTTGGCATATCAAATACATCATGGGTAGCTTGCCAGGCTCTGCTGTGTGGGTGAGATACGCTCGGTAGCTTGCCGGGCTCTCCGAGAGGGGCAGAGGAATCAAACTCGGGTCGGCCATGTTGGCCGCATGCAAGGCAAACGCCCTACTGCTGTGCTATTGCTCCAGCCCTAGAAAAGATGAAGTCATGAAATTTACATACAAGTGGTTCTACATGGAAAGTATCATGCTAAGTGAAATGAGACAGAAAGAGAGGGACAGACATAGAAAGTGTGCACTCATCTGGGGAATATAAAGTAACAGAATGGGAGACGAACACTCAAGAATAGTTGAGATAAGTATCAGGAGGTCTGCTCCATGGCTTGGAAGCTGGCAGCACATGCTGAGGAAAAAGGCAGCTCAGATAGAAAAGGGAACACCAAGTAAAGGATGTTTGGAGGATTTGCTCGGGATGCGAGATGCATGCTCAAAGATGAGACTATAGACTGAACATGATGGCCACTCAATACCTTTGTTGCAAACCACAACAACCTAAAGGAAAGAAACAGCAAAAGGGAATGCCCTGCCACAAAGGCGAGGCAGGGGAGATGGGAGGGCAACTGGGATCACTGGTGGTTGACAATGGGCACTGGTGGAGGGATGGGTACTTGATTATTGTATAACTGAAACCCAAGCATGAAAGTTTGTAAGTCTACAACAGCACCTCTTGCTGGTTCACTAATACAAACAAAAAAAAAAGTGCACGTTTTCCACCACCAAATTCCCTGGTATCCCCCTGCAACTCCCCCTTTCCACACCTACCCTCGCCTGTGTGGCAGACAATTTACACAATACTGCCTTTCTCTACATTGGTTAACTTCGATATTTGTGTCCCGTTCCAGCACCACTCATTCTTGCCAAAAATGTAATGCTAGACAATGTGTTTTGTATTGCTTGCTATGGATACAATATAATGCCATGCAGCTGCTCTTGTAGCCATGCGCTCTCGCAATTCCAAAATTTTAATAATTAGGGTCTGGAGGATCGCTGCAGCAAGTTGCTTGGGTCCAAGATTCATTTGTGTGTCCCTGGATCATGGCCGTGTGGGAACTTAAGTAGATGGTGGCCATGTGTGTGGACGTATTCTCAGAGTTCCATGGCGGAGGGGGAAAGGAGGACCGACTCCTCACCAATCCTGTGAGGCCTGGCATTTCCTGCCACTGCCACCCATACCTGGAGCTTTTTGCTGTGTTCTAGAAGATGGTGTCCGCCAGGGTTCCTAGAAGGCAGGTGGAGGAACGGCACCTGCCCCCAAATGGAGTGGCTCAGCGAAAAACTCTGCAGCAAGTTGCTTGGGTCTGAGATTCATTTGTGTGTCCTAGATCATTTATTTTCCCTTGCTGATTTTATGTATCATGAAAGATCATGTGGCTGCGTAAGTGGCTGTGTGCTTCTGAGATTCTAAATTGTAAATGGTTGTGTTCCAGAGACATCGCTGTAGGGAGCTATTCTAATGTGGTTTGGAGAATTAGTCCTCACACCCGCATACCGGAGTCTTGCTTGTATGCGTGCTCATAGTTGCCGGGATTCCACCAGGAGAAGGCGCGCAGACTGCACCTGCTCCAACTGGGGCATCCCGGTGAATTCAGCTTGGTATCTGGTCTGGAGAAATCTCCTATGCTGTGATTCCCTCTGGGATCGTCACTGCTATGTGCGCCAAGATGGTTCCTGGAGGCAGGTTGAGGGCGTGACTCCCGGCATTGGGAGCGGACAGGAAGCCAGGATGAAATTGCCTGGTTCCAGTGCTGCCATGTGGTTTGGAGAGTTAGTCCTGACACCCACATACCGGAGCCTTGCTTGTAGAAACTTATGGTCACCGGGATTCCATCTGGAGAAGGCGGGGAGACTGCACCTGAGGAGTCATTATTTCTTACCATCTATTCCTGCCCCCTTACCTCAGCAGTGCCCACTGAGCATGGCACAAGACAGATGAAGTCTTTCCTACACGCTTACTCACTGCCACGGATGCAAGGTCAGTCCTCACCGGAGGGCAGGGGTTGGGGGGGGGGATGCAGATTTTCCCGTGCATTCCACAGGATTAATGGTGCATGGCATATTAATAACGTGGAATGCAATTTTATTTCAGGGATTTTGTTTTTCAATGTCAGCATTAACATTTAACTCCTCACCCCTGTTTTCTCCCCTTCTCCTTTGAATCTTCTGAATTTTTTTCTGTTGATGTGTCAACACCATGACCTGGCCATGGTGAGCTCAGCAGTTTTGTGCGAAGATGCCGGCCCCTCTCGGGTTTATCAGCTGCCAAAACAACTACTTTGGAATATCTGGAAGCCTCTTTGCCCATGGAGCTTCTGGACCTGAGCCAGGAGCTTTTGATCTCACACGATGTTGCTCAAGTTTGCTGGAATCTTCTCTGCTCAGCAAGATCCTTTATTTGTGGTCCAGCAACTTCCTGTGGGCTTCAAGGTTGGGCGAAGTATCAGCTGGCCAGAGTGCACACTCTCCAGGCCAGTGTCCACCCAACTGCATGCAGAATTCCATGATTATGATGTCCGTGGGGTGCCCAGGTGACTTATGTCCAGTGGAGAAGAGTCTGGGAAGACTCCAACTGGTGACGTCTGCCATGAGCCCCCCATGGCACTCACCTTACATCCCACCAGCCCCGCTAGGCAGCCACTGACTACACCTGATGTCTCCTTGTTGGGTGCTGCATGGGAGTTACTCCCCAGCACCCAATTTCTCAGGGGCCATGGCCTCAGGCTGCAGCCAGCCACAGCTCTACAGCAAAGGAAGTAAGTCCTCAAGATCCCCCAGACCTCTCTGCTCTAAGGGATTCCAGAAGGACACAGCAGTCAAGCAAAAAAACAGACGGTACTGGGAGGTTTTAAGGAAGGGGAAGGAGGGAAGAGAGAAAGAGGGAGAGAGAGACAGACAGACAGAGAGGGGAGGATGAATGAGGGAAAGAGGGAGAGAGACTGAGAGAGAGGGTGAGGAAGGTGAGAGAGGGGAAGGAGAGGGAGGGAGAGACAGAAAAAGAGGAGGGAGAGACAGAGAGGGGAATGGAGAAGGAGACAGAGAGGGGAAGAAGAGACAGAGACACAGAGAGAAACAGAGAAGGGAAGGAGGGAAACAGAGAGAGGGGAGGGAGAAGAACGGAGGGAGGAGGGAGAGACAGAGAGGGAGAGGGAGGGGGGGGAGAGAGAGAGAGAGAGAGAGAGAGAGAGAGAGAGAGAGAGAGAGAAACATACTCAAGAGAGAACACAGGCTTCCCAAACATTGGGATTTAAAAAAAAATTGTAATCCCCTTCTTTAGGGGCGGGATTCACTTGTCCTATTGTTCGTGGATTTGCTTGAGCAGGCACCAGTAATGTCTCCACTTGGTCACAAGTAATCATGGCACCGTGGTTTTGGGGGCAGAATGTCCCTGTCTGTCCTCTGTGAATCATGGGGTGACACCCTGTCCACATGCAACAGTTCAGAGAGTAAGAATGTGTTTATTATTATTATTATTAAATTTTCATTAAAACCACTGTGATTTACAGTTTCTCATTGTACAGTTGTTTCCAGCATTTGGTGTTCCAACCCCACCAGTGTGACCTTCCTTCCATCAATAATCCCAGTTTCCCTCCCAGTCCCAAACTCCCCCTGCGAGCACATACCAAATTGACTTTATATTGCTTGTTCCAACAAAACCTGAAGAACTGGCAAGTGTAATGATGGGAAGTAACTCAGTAAGTGCACAGCAGATCGGATAGGATGTGATGTAGAAGGAAAGATCGTGTCTTGGCCCCAGTCATGCTGTGATAGCCCATCCTCGTCATGAGAGGGGACAGCTCTGGATCCTGTAGGTGGAAAGACCGGGACCGACTCTACATCAGAAATGCGATTCTGGTGCTGTGTCCCAGAATGGCCCCAGGATGCAAGCATGTCCACAGCATATGCCTGTCAGCCACCTGTATGCATTCTTTGGGGAATTGTCTTCCCAACACACAGAGGAATGGATCAAGAAGTTATGATCTATAGACACAATGGAATACTCTGTAGTGCTAAGAAAGAACAAAAACAGGCCACCTGCAGCAACATGGAGAGAACTAAGTGTATCCAGCTGAGTGAAGTCCAGCTGAGTGAAGTTAGCCCAAAGGAAGGGGATGGAGATGGTGTCATCTCTCCTAGGTGGGACTTGAAGCTACACAGCGAGGTAGCAGCAAAGGGCCAAAGGCAACACAGCGGGGGAACAGAGACACACAACTGAGTTGGGGGTGGGGCAAGAAGGAGAGAGAAGGGCTCAGGCTCCTTAGGGGAGGGGAAAGGGTGCCTTGGTGATGGCTGTGCTGTTGGGATTCAGTTCCAAAGAAACCATTATTAAGGGTATTGCCAGCCAAAGACCCAATCAATACAATCAATTCAAAAATGCCTTCCCTGAAAAATGAAGTCATGAAATTTGCCTATAAATGAATGGACATGGAGAGTCTCATGCTGAGTGAAATGAGTCAGAAGGAGAGGAACAGACAGACATGGAATGACTGCATCCATTTGTCGGCTATAAAAAATATAAAGTAGAAGACTACTATCCAAGGCTCGGGAAAACCAAGGCTAGGAGGACTAGTCGATTGTTGGAATCTACCACAAGTATGTGTAGGGCTGAGGATACGTAAGATAGAGAAGGGACCAGTGTGACAATAATGGCCAATGGCTAATGGATTGACCTGAAAGAGACAGAACAGAGTTGCAGAGACGGAGAGTAAGTGAGACCCAGAGAGAGGGAAACAGAAATAGATGGGACAGAGATGCAGATACGGACAGGGACAGGGAAACAATACAGGCAGTGACATGAACACAGAGACATAACATACAGAGAACAGAACAGATAGACACACAGATGACACAGACATATAACATGCAAACACAGAGAAGCAGCATACTGAAGATATAAACACAGATGTAATAACATAGAGATGCCATAAACAGAGATACAACATACAGATGACATAAACAGAGATACAACATAAGAAGACAAAAACACAGAGATGCAACATACAGATGACATAGAGATACAACATACAGATGACATAAACATACAGATATATACAGATGACATAAACATAGATGCAACATACAGATGACATAAACATAGAAATGACATACAGATGACATACATAGAGATACAACATACAGATGACATAAACATACAGATATATACAGATGACATAAACATAGATATGACATACAGATGACTTAAACAGAGACAACGTACAGATGATATAAGCATACAGATACATGCAGATGCCATAAACATGGCATGCAGATGACATCAACAGAGACAGGACATATGGATGACATAGCAAGCGGATACAATAAAGAGATGACATAAACATAGAGATGGTGATGGGTATGTACATAAATGTAAATACACATGTCGATGGTGATGTGATGGAGATAAAAATATGATGGCGACAGGCGTGATATGCGGTGATAGATATGACAGAAATATTAGATATGACAGATGACACAAGCCTGGAGATGGTGACAGCAACATGCACAGGTGTGTGATGTGAGAGGTCACAGATACACACACGGATGGTGATAGACATCACAGAGTGGCACACATGACCTCTGCATGGTGATGGGCATGGCATAGACACGCATGCTGATAGAGGTGATATAAACGTGCAGAGGTAACATACTGTGACACGAATGCTGAGATGGGGATGAGACCTAGATCTAGATGGTGACAGATAGGTCCCGTGTACTGGTGATGACAGACAGTGGCATGGTGTATAGGTGGGGAGTGACAAGCACGACCCCCACATAAACACAGATGCTGAGAGATACGACAATCATCAATGGTGACAGATGATAGGACATAAATGGATAGATGTGACATAAACAGATATGACATCACGTATAGCTGTGGCAGATGGCACGACACAGAGATGGTGACCTGGCATAAGCATCGATGGAGACAGTGGCAGATAGGATGCAGATACATGGTGGAAGACGTCACACGGATATGGAGGTGTGATGTAAGTGCAGTGATATGAAACATGGATAGTGACATGGCGTCAACATCAATGCAGACAGTGATCAACAGGACGTAGATGTAGATGGTGCTATACAAATGCAGAAATGCATCGATCTGACATAACACGTAGATGGTGACACGCGGATAAACATTGGCAGAGACGGTGGCTGACGGGACACAGGGATGGTGACACAGAGGACAGAAACATTGAGATGTACCATAACCCTGGAGACAGGACAGATGGGTGACATAAACCTGTGAAAGGTGACAGACACCGCTTCGGGCAGGGAGAGATGTGTATAGAGCTGATGATGGACAGAAATGGAGAACGACATCCACAGGCAAACGTCCACAGTGCCAACACAGACAGGGGCACACAGAGACACGGAGACTCGGACTGAGTGTCTGCTGCCCAGCAGGGCGGGTTCTGAACCTCGGCTCGCCTGCGGAGCTGGGGGCACGGCCGTGAGGTGGAATTGCCTCTACTGAAGGATCATTCATGTAGCGGCTGAAGAGAAAAGAGCAGGGACTCTGGCCGGCTTGCGTCCAGCTCCTCCTTGCTGGGAGCCGGTCTGGGTCTCCCTGTTGCCCAAGCTGGCTGAGGGTGCTGTCACTGACTTCTGCACCTCACTCCTGTGACTTCCCCAGAAGCTGTGTTAGAGGCTGGCCTGTGTGTGAGCATGATTTTGGGACCATGGGACACGGGTGTCTCCCAGACATACCCCAGGTTTGCCTTCAGGTGCTAGTAGGGGGTGGCCCCTGAGGCAGCTCCGAGCCTCTCGGTGACGCTGGCCAGGCCCAGGAGCTTGCCTCTTCTTTCCTGACTCCGAGTCACCTCTCGAGGATCAGAACTAGTTCCCAGCAGCGCAGAAACAAGTGGGGGAAGAAAAGAAGTAGTGGAATCGCAGGAGATTTAGAAGGAAAAAAATAAAAAAGCTTTAATTCACCGCCTCTGGACAGCTGCCTGTTGTGGCGTCAGTGCTTCTCCTCCTCCTCCTCGAACCAGTTTTCTCTGTGCAAGAAGAGCACGGCGTCCTGGAAGCCACGGCGGAACAGCGACTGCATCCCCTTCTGGCTGGGCGGGAACAGGGCTTGGTTCAGCCTCACCAGGTTCGCCATGGACAGCTAAGAGACAGAAGGGAGAGAGTGATGAGGAACTGTGGCCGGCCACATCATGGCGCTTGGTTTCCATGGTGGCTGACCACGTCACGGCGTGTGGCTTCCGTGGTGGCAGGCCATGCCATAGAACGTGGCTTCTGTGATGGCAGGTCATGTCACAGAGCGTGGCTTCTGTGGCAGCAGGTGTACATCACAGCACATGCTTTCTGTTGTGGCAGGCCTCGTAACTGAGTATATCTTCTGTGGTGGGAGGCCCATGTCACAGCATGTGGCTTCTGTGGTGGCAGGCCACATCACAGAGCATGGCTTCCATGGTGGCAGTCCACGTCATAGGATGTGACTTCTGTGGTGATAGGTCCACGTCATGGCACGTGGCTTCCATGGGGCAGGCCATATCATGGCACGTGGCTTCTGTGGTGGCAGGTCATGTCACAGAGCGTGGCTTCCATGGTGACAGGTGTACATCACAGCATGTGGTTTCTGTGGTAGCAGGCCACGTCACTACGTCTTCTTTGGTGGCAGGTCCACGTCATGGCATGTGGCTTCTGTGGTGGCAGGTCATGTCACTGAGTATGGCTTCTACAGCCAGAGGTGGACTGAGCCATGGTGCAGGTCACGTCACCATGTATGGCTTCTACAGCCAAAGGTGGACCGAGCCATCAAGAAGAAGACAACATCTAGGTGGGAAGAGCTCAAGTCCAACAGGGATCCTGGGGAGTGTGGGGGAAGGACGTGGCCGGGGGCAGAGTGGCTGTGCCTTGTGCAAGGCCCAAGTTTCTGGCCCCGACATCCGTGGTTGTCTGAGCCTCAGGATCACAGATGCTGACAGCCGTAGATGTGGGTCTGTTGCTGGGGAGATGGGGTATCTGTCCTGGGCACTGCACCAGGGGCTTCGCTTCACTCCTAATTATGCCTCCAGAGGTGACCGACTGCCCCCAGAGATGGCCAACAGTCCCTGGGGCTGGCCACACCCAGCAAGGAGATATTTATGTCAGTTATTCAGGAGTCCCATCAGTCTTCTGTGCTTCCATTTCAGATACCACAGCGGTGTCCCATTGTTCAGCTAGCTGAAGATTGCCCCGCCTCTTAGGGGCTCCCCTGAAGACTCAGCCAGAGACCTAGGACAGTGGGGAGGGTACTCCCCTTGCATGGGGATGACCCGGAATGGACCCCCACCCCACATGAAGCCCTAGACCCGGCAGGCATGATCTCTGGGCACAGAGCCAGCAGTCTACCCTGTGCACTGCTGGGAGTCATCCCTAAACTGAACCAAAACACACTCCGGGCAAGATTGGCCCTGGGCGTGCTCATCACGGGTGTGGAAGCCTGTGGAAGCTTTCGGAAGAAGCAGCCTGCGACTCACCACAAGGTCCTGGTTGGAGATGTTCACGTACACGTCCAGCTGCCCCTTGTCCCGCGGGGAGATGTCCAGGCGCCCGCTGAAGGGGGAAACGGTCACTGTTCGGCCCACAGGCAGGATGGGCAGGCTGTTGGTGAGGCCACCGTCCACCCACTTCTGTGGACAGGAAGGGGCGGGGTCAGCGCAGGACAGATGAGGGTCCGGGTGTCTCTGCTGGGCAGCACCCCCTGCCTCTTAGGGGCCCACAAGGACGAGCGTCTGGGCGTCTGTGCTGGGATAGTCCCCTCACCCTCCACCTCTTTGGGCCCACAAGGACTTGGCCTGACGCGCAGGGAGCAGGCTTGCTGGGAGGCAAATCCTTGCCCAACGGCAGCAAGCCGTATCCAGCACAGCCAATACAGAGGCAGCTGAGCCCTGCAGTGGTCTGGAGCTCTGAGAAGGCGGGTGTAGGGGGCAGCCAGCGTGTGCGGGAAGGTGGGTGGGGAGGGGGGCAGGGGGTGCTCATGGCAAAGTCACGAGCACTGCTGACGGGTGTGTGTGTGTGTGCGTGCGTGTGTGTGTGCATATGGGTCTCTGCACGGTAAGAGCTGGGAAGGGGCCGTCTCTGCAGCAGACACCACATGGCACACGGCATCACAGACCCTCCTGTTTGCGAGCTTGGTTGGGCAACGCATGGACAGGTCAGAAGGGATCCTCGGTTCCTGGGGAGTAGGAAGGGCCATGAAGATGCAGGCAGGGCTCAGGAAAGCCAGCCTGCATGCAGAGGGGTGAAGGAAGAAGGGTAGAGAAGGCAAAGGAGAGAGGGAGGGAAGGAGGGAGGGAGGGAGGAAAGGAGTGAGGGAGGGAGGGAGGGAGGGAGGGAGGGAGGGAGGGAGAAGGAAGGAAGTTACGGAGCAAAACTCTGCTGGCGAGTTCCCTGTTGGGCGCTGTCCTGGTGAAGGGAACATAAACACAGCAGTTCCCAGGGGCGTGCCTGCGCAACATCTGCACGCTTGTCTTTGTCAAGACTCACAAACCACCCATGGTAGGCTCTAGGAGGACGTCACACAGAGCCCTGGGTGTGCACGCATGTTGGCACGCATGAGGGGGAATCCCACACATGTGTGTTTGCAGCACAATGCTACAGCCCGTCCAGGAGCATCCTGGTCTGAACACTCTGCTTCCCATTCTGTTTGGGGTGTGTGTGTGTGTGTGTGTGTGTGTGTGTGTGTGTGTGTGACAGAGAGAGAGAGAGAGAGAGAGAGAGAGAGAGAGAGAGAGAGAGAGAGAGAGAGAGTCCGGGGCGTCGCTTCTCAGAACTGGTGACTGTCTCCAGACCAGGGGAACTGCCTTCTAAACGCATCTTTCAGATTCCCAGCAGGGCGTCTTACCCTTGAAGCCCATGGTTCATGCCTAGGGGGAGTGAAAAACTGGGGCCCCCTGGCCTCTATGCCTCTGAGGAAATGAGGGCAGGTGCCTCACGAGGCCCTGGGGCATCCAATTAGGCAGGTAGTCAATGAGGGCCTTCTAGGAATGGCTGGCCCGTATGGCCCGTAAGCACGGAAGCCGTCTTCTTAGCTGCATCCTGACTGGACAGCTGAGCTGGAGAGCAGGAAGGGCTCTCTGTCTCTCTCATCGGACTGTCCCCGAGATGCTGCCCTCACCCCTGCTCACCCCCACCACCCCGGCCGGCTGAGACCCGCGGTAGCCCAATCCCCATGCGCCTGCTGTCCTCCACAGCTCCGAGCCAGAGAGGGCCAGTGGCAAACCTTTCAGAGAGATGCCTCCAATCCTCAGTGACCTGCTGGCTTCCCAACACCATCCCCTCCATCCCTGTAACGTGTCCCATGGGTGACCTGCCGGAGACGTGCCCCATAGATGCCCTGCCACACTTCTACCTCATGGACAGCTGCCTAAGCCCTGGGCCTGTCGCTGTAGAGACGTGGCCTCAGGCAGCTCAGGGGCACGCGGGCACATCCAGACGATGTTCCCAGGTGGATTGTGTCTAGGACCATGCCTGCGGCCCCCGCTGTTCCCACTGAGGCAGGCAGGTGGGCAGGGAAGGTCCCCTGAGGCACAGAGTTCCTGTGAGATAATCCAGCCAACTAGCCCTAAGGCTGCCAGGACCCACCTTGTGGACACGGGAACTAAGGCCTGATCAGGCCAGGCTGGACCCTCTCTGAGAGAAGCTCCAGCAGGAGCAAAGGCCAGGAAAGGAACCTCAAAGAGGACCATCGACCACTCCCAACTCTACCTCCTTGGCCACCAGCCTAGCAACGGACTCTTACCTCACTAGAAAACCCCACATGGGACAGCTTGGGAGAAACCCTATAAAGGCACCTTGAACAAAGGAAGTGCACACAGGTGCTGCCCCCCATCCCCTCGTGAGAGGTGGACTTTATGCTTTCGTATCTAACGCCTTTGCAGAAGCTCGCATTCTCTCCTGAGCACGTATCTCTCTGTCTCTGTCTCCATCTCTCTCTCCCTCCCTGCTTCCTCAAAGCCTCCAAGTCAGTCCTGTTGTTTCTTCTCCTGCAATTCTTCCCTGGGAGGGAAAGGCGAGGCCCGGCAGGCCCGGGTAAGGCCTAGGCTGCCTTTCCTTCCCTGCGAGGCACAAGGCTCTCTGCAGATTGTCACCATTTCAGAATGTGGCAGAGGGAGACAGAGAGAAACTGGCAGATCCTTCAGGAGGTCTCTCTGCTCCCAAAGCTCTTTGCGGGGGGGGGGGGGGGGGGAGGGGGCGGGGACACAGTCTGGAGGCCCTTCCCTGACGGATACGCTGGCGTGGATCAGAGCTCACAGATCCCGTGACCTAAACACACAAGAACCGAGAGTCTCCAGAAAATTAGGGAAAATAAAACACATACTTCTGGGCATCTGTCCCGAAGAAATAGGACATTTTGTTCTCATGAACACCAAGAAAGAAAAAGAGAAGGAGAGAAAGAACAGAAAGAGAAAAAAGAGAACAAAGGAAGAGCAAAACAAAGCAGAAGAGAAACAGCGAAGGAAAGAGAAAAGGAAGAAAGTAGAGAGAATGTAAGGAAAGAGGAGAGAAGGAAGACTGGAAGAAAAGAAGGAAGGAGAGAGAGCAAAAGAAAGAGCTGGCGAGCAAGAGAAAGGAAGAAAGAGAAAGGAGAGAAAGAGAGCAAAAGAGGACAGAAAAAGAGAAGGAAGGAAATAAAGAGAAAAAGAGAAGGAAGGGAGGGAGGGAGGAATGAAGGAAGTAGGGAGGGAGAAAGCGCACCCGCATAGGCAAGGCTCCTGGCTCTGGCTCGCACCTCCCGGTCCTTGCCGGGGAAGCACCTACCTGCCCTTTGTACTCCACCGGTGTCAGCCCGGCGTAGACGGGCACAAAGCTGCTGGCCAGCAGCACCTGGGTGGACGGAGAGGAGACGCTGGTGAGCTGCGGGGCCCGCACACGCACTTGGCTGCCCTCGCGCTCTGAGCTCAGGCCAGGCAGCGGGAGTTGGCACTTGGCGGCAGGAGGGCGGCGTGCCATGCGAAGGAGGCAAAAGGAACCAGACTCAAAGTGAGCACTGCAATGTCACCTGCCCGAAGAGGCACAGAGATTTCCCTCATCGCAGCTGGGTTTGGCTTTGCTTCGGGGGCACATCCACTGATGCTCAGAGGTTCCTGCTGGTCTGTGCTCGGGAAGGACTCCCAGTGGGCTTGGGGGACACTATGTGGCCCCGGGAATAGAACCCGGGTGCCCCGTGCAAGGCACCGGTCCTCCCCACTGGATCATCACTCTGGGCCCCATTCTTCTCAAGTGGACTGGCAGATCTGGAGCCCCTGGCACCTCTTGAGCCAAGTTGGCAGCACATTGGAACATCTCCCCGGGGTCCCGAGATGGCCGTGGCCGACGCACACTGGCTGTGTGTTCCCCTTCGCTGGCACAATGAGCCACAGGTGCAGCGAAGAGCTTCTGGTGGGGAGCCAGGAAATTCGGGGTGCGGGGGCCAAGAGGCCCGAGCTCTTCCCGGGAGGGAGAGACTGCGCAGGCCACTCCGGCAGCTGGACGTGCTCCCAGCCACCCATGGGCGTCCCCGGGAACCCGGGAAATTCAGCGGCGGGCCCCGAGGTCAGACGAGCCACACTGACCGTCCCTCCGGGGGCTCATCCCCCGTTCTGAGTTCTGCTCTGCAGGGGCGAATCGGGCATGGCTGGGCAGGTTCTCCCTTTGCAGTTTGCCAGTCCACGGCTGACGGTAAGAAGAGGATGGGGAAACGTTTTTCTCTAAGCCGGGACGCCAGAGTAGAAGGAGCCTGGGCCTGAGGGGCGCCGAGTGATGCTGGAGCCTAGGAAGCCACGGACTCATTTCTCCTGGGGGTCCGTTTCCTCGGGCAGCTGCGGTCACAGCCTTCGTGCACAGGGGCAGCTGCAGGTGACACCCGAGTGCCACATCCAAGCGTCTGCTGTCCCCACTTGCTCTCGGCCCATCCCCCATGGTTCTTCCCAGACAAACTCTCCGTGCGTGCCCTTGCCTGCGTGTCTCCGTGTGTATGTGGACTGTGTGTACCACGCACGTGGGGACAGTGAGCTATAGCAGGATGGCGTATACACACACGTGGGGACAGTAAACTATAGCAGGACAGTGTGTACCACACATGGGGGGACAGTGAGCTATAGCACGACGGTGTGTCCCACACACATGATGACAGTGAGCCAACAGGACCCGAGTGAGGCCAGGGCACAGGGAGGGTGGCCAAGCGCCGGGCAGAGGTGTCAGGAGCCAGTGCGGGCACCACCGTACCTTGATGAGGTCCTCCCGGGAGCTGAAGCTGGACACCAAGTAGTTCTGCCTGGTCCTGGTGTTGGTGATGGACACATGCAGTCGGCGGTGGGCCAGCTGGTGGGCATTGGCGGGGAGGATGGACTCCATCCCACACCTGCAGGGCACAAACGGGTGCTGCGTGAGCCCCCTGCACGCCCGCAGGCCCGAGGCAGGGCCTTGGCAGAAAGTAGGCTGGGAGGGGCGGGGCAGGGCGGGCTGTGGGGACCACTGACCTGAGTCGGGCCATGAAGTCATAGCCGGGCGTCATGGCCCCAAAGGACTGCCCGCGGATTTCTTCGGCAAACGTGTAGGTGAACGCTTTACATTCCTGAGAGGGACCATGAAGAGTGACTGCCCGCGGGGCGGGGGGTGTCCAGGCGGATGCATCGGGTTCTGGACGCAGTCGTGTTCTCTGTGAAAAGCACCTGCACCCTGCACCCTCCCCCCCTGCCCTATCTGGCTGGACCCCCAATTTCTGACTCTGCGCCCCCCCGCCCCCCCGCCCCGCTCTGGACCTAGGCAAGGAGGCTTCTTCGACTTCCAGTCTCCACCCCTCGCTCGCCCCCGTGGGTTCTGAAACGGTCCTGGCCCCGACTGGCCCAGACGTGGGGAACCTGGGAAACATCTCACGTCTAATCTAGAACTTTCTTCTGCTACTTCCTCCCTCATCCTGAAGCCCTCGCCACCCTGACAAGGGATGGGGACGATTTCTGTGTCTGTGTGTCTGTCTACTTCTATGTGTCTGTGTCTCTGTGTATTTCTAAGTATGTGTCTCTGTATGTGTCTGTGTATGTCTCTGTGTGTACATCTGTGTGTCTCTGTATTAGTGTGTGACTATGTATTTCTACATACGTGTCTGTGTGCGAGTCTGTGTATATGTCTCTGTGTATTTCTATGTGTGTAACTCTGCACTTCTATGTGTGTGTCTGTGCGTACGTCTATGTGTGTGAGCCTATGTGTATCTTTGTGTTTCTGTGTGTGTGTGTGTGTGTGTGTGTGTGTGTGTGTGGTTGTGGGGCTGTGGGCAGGAACTGAATCCGGAGCATCTGCATGTAATCCAAACACTCTGCGGCTGAGCCTGATGTCCAGCCCGGGGGAGTGGGGGGGAGGTTTGCTGCCCAGTTTTCCTGCAAGAGGAGGTTTCTGTCCTCCCTTCTGAATGGCCAGGCCAGGAGCGGCCTTCGTTCCCACTGAATTACCTCCAATTTCTGCGGTGCCGTCAGCAGGACGGTGGCCACCAAGGAGCCCGCAGAGGCGCCTGCAAAGGCCTTCACGTCCTTCAGCAGCTTCCTGCCGTGCTTGCAAAGGGCAGACGCTGCCCCCAAGTGGTAGATGCCCAGGAACCCACAGGCGGCAAAGGACAAATTGATGTGCTTCATTGTAACTCTGGAAGCTGCAACAGAAAACAAACAGACCGAAAAAGCAGAGGCTTCGGTAAGCTGGGATCGTTTGCAAAACTGGGATCTTTTGCTACAAGCTGTCATACCCAGGGGAATGTCATCCCCAGGGGAATGTCATACCCAGGCTGCCCAATTAATAACTAAGACTCTGGGAAGCCCCCAGCTGCCAACTCCCTGCCTCCTCCACACACACACACACACACACACACACACACACACACACACACCTTTGCAGGGAACATTTTCTTTCTCCTCTCTCACCTGGACCCAATAGTGTCAGGAGAGACACAAAGCTACAATCAGGAGAGACACAAAGCTACAACAGACCCGTAACTGACCCCTGGGGATGCATCTGCTATGGCTATATTAATCTTAGTTTTTATATTCTTTATTCCTTGACTGGACACACGGATAAGGCCCAAGGTATTTGCCCCCTCCCCGTTCTTATTTTATTATTTTCCCTAGATTTTTATGGAGCTTTGGAGGGGGGGTTGGAGAGAGGGTAGAGAAAAATAACATCTGCTGAGATCAGAATTCCCGATGCCAAAAAAGAGTAACATCTGCAGAGATCCGAATTCCCGAGGATCCCCATGGAATGCATCCTAGTTTGCTAACATCACAGGGGTCGGTGGGGGCCACAGTCCTAAAGCTCCATGTTACTGTCTGGATAGCAACGTCGATGCTTTAGCAGATTTGAAACAGCGGCCCCTGACCCCCAGGCCTGGCCGGGGCGAGGCTGCATCTACATAATCGATATAAGCCTCTCCCAGTGGTGCTGCACCATGCATCCCTGCAAAGTGCCCATCTGCAGCAATCCTGAACTCATTCCATTGTGCATACGTGCACACACAAACACACACACAAAGACACACCCCCCTCCCCACGGCACTTCACCATGCAATCCTGCAAACTGCCATCCCGGGACAATCCTGAACCCTTTCCACTGTGCACACACACACACACACACACACACACACACGCACACACACACACCATTCCTGAACTCTTTCCATTGTGCATACACACACACACATACGAACACACACCTCTCTGGGGCTCTGTACCATGCAAACCTGCAAACTGCTATCCTGCAACAGTCTTGAAATCTTTCCATTCTGCATACATGCACGCACACACACACACACACACCAATCCTGAACTCTTTCCGTTGTGGACATGTATACAAACACACATACACACCCCTCCCTGGGGTGCTGCATCACGCAATCCTGCAAACCGCCCAAACTTTTTCCATTGTGCATATGTGCACGCGCACACACACACACACACACACACACACCTCCCCAGGGCGCTGCACCATGCAATCCTGCAAACATTCTGAACTCTTTCCTTTGTGCATACATGCACACATACACACCCCCCAATCCTGAACTCTTTCCATAACCCTGCAAACTGCCATCCTGCAACAATCCTGAACCCTTCCCATTGTGCACACGTGCACACATACCCGCCCCCCCCATCCTCCAATCCTGAACTCTTTCCATTGTGCGCACACCCCTCTCCCTGGGGCGCTTCACCATGCAATCCTGCAAACTGCCATCCTCCAACAATCCTGAACTCTTTCCATTGTGCATACACACACACACACACACACACACCTCTCCCCAGGGTGCTTCACCATGTAACTCTGCAACTGCATCCTGCAATCATTCCGAACTCTTTTCATTGTGCATACTTGCACACATACACACACCCCCAATCCTGAACTCTTTCCATTGTGCACATACCACACACGCGCGCACACACACACACATACACACACCCTCTCCCCAGGGCGTTTCACCATGCAATCCTGCAAACTGCCATCCTGCAACAATCCTGAACTCTTTCCATTGTACATACGTGCACACGCACGTGCGCGCACGCACACACACACACACACACACACCCCTGTCCTTGGGGTGCTTCAGCATTCAACTCTCCAACTGCCATCCTGCAACCATTCTGAACTCTTTGCATTGTGCATACGTGCACACATACACACACACCCCCAATCCTGAACTTTCCATTGTGCACAGACGAACGCGTATGCACAGGCATACACACACACACGCACCCCGCTGGGTGCCAGTGTGCCACTGTAGCCGCCCGCCCAGAGCAAGCGGCTGAGGCTCCCCGGGGTGCAGGGGCCGACGGCCAGTCTGCGGAGCCCCGGGGTCCGGGGCGGGACCTTTGGGGCGTGCGCCCTAAGCCCCCGGCCGGGTCATCGGCTCCCGGGCCGGGCTGACGTGTTCAAGGGGAGCCGGGGCTGGGGGCGCTGGAGCTAGGGGCGCCTTGCACACCTTCCCGCGACCGCCCGGAGCCCACCCGGGCCGCGCTTTAAGCCCTACCCCTGGGGGGCCCCAGTCCCTTTCCGCAGCGAAAACCGCCAGGCTTCCAGCGCGGGGCCGCCGGGCCGCCACTCAAGCGTACCCCGCTTATCGCAGCCCCCGGCCGGCCTGGACCGCCTCTCCCGCGCTCCGCCCGACCAATAGGAGCGCAGATCCCTTCCGTACGGCCCGCCCCCTTGCGGCCGGCCTCCGTGCCCGGACCCGGAAGGCGGGGCCGGGCCGACCCTCCACGAGGCCCCGCCTCCCCGCGCCGCGCGCCTCCTCGGATAGGTCGAGAAGGGGAAAGCTTTGGCGGCGGAGGGCGTGGCCAGGAGAGGCCGGCCCGCGAGACTTTGTGACGAGTTCACGCTGCGCGGCCCCGCCCTGGAAGGGAAGCGCGGTCGCCCGGGTCGCGGTTGTGACGTCATTGCGACTGGCCTGCCGCAGCCCGCTCGGTTGGTGGTGGGGGCTTGGCTGCTGGGCCCAGCGTGCCCACACCCCCTGGCAGGAGTGATTGATAAGGGACCACCCAGCGCTTTGTACTAGACTCGCCCCCAGCCCTCATGTGTATCGGAAAACCAAAGGGCTGCGTTTCAGTCGCGCTTCGGCGAGCCGACTGAGCCCAAAGCCCCTCCTGAGCCGCGCCCCGGAAGTACTTGTTCCCGCTGCCCGGCGACCCTGGAAGTGATCCCCTGCAGCTGGCTTTCGCCTTGCCCCTGGCAGCGGGGGCAAACACTGACCAGCTGCGCCCCCTGCCGGAGTGTGAGCGCGCCCCACCCGCCGGTTGCTGGCTTGGCCCCGGGCCCAGGTCCTGCCCCGCGCCTGGGAGGGACATCGGAGTCCGGGAGGCAGGCGGGGGCGGGGCGGGATGCTCTGGGGAGGCTGCCGGGCAGCATCCCTGCATCCCTGTATCCCCGCATCCCCACACCCCCGTATACCCACACCCCCGCATCCCACCCCAGGCGCCAGCCCACGCAGGTCCCAAGCAGAGCCGAAAGCGCAATGCACTTCAGGCTCCTGAGGTCAAAAGGCATAGAGGAAAACGAGAGGGGCTGGTCGATTCTGTTTTATTCTATGTGGAAACGAGGAGGGGCGTTTGAATATATTTTGTCCTATTCAGGGGGGTTAATTTTCTGATGGCAAAACGGGGTAGAGTGATCATTGTACTGGCTCTTAGCATTTTCTGAGCATTGACCATTTGCCAGTTCTTAAAGTTTGGTTGGAACAAGCCAGAGGGAACCCCATTTCTCACTGTGCCTAGGGGGGCAGTGAGGCAGATGAGGCAGGACGGGGAGGGTCTTCCCAGCTTTCCAGTATTTTCATGAATGGAAATTGGGAGTCCTGAGGACGCTCAGACTCATTGTTGGAAAGTAGAGAGCCTCAGTTTATCAGCCTACTAGCTAATAGGCTCATCTATTAGAAACTAGGGAGGGGGAAAAAAGAGATAGGGAGGCATTGCTCTGGTGATGTGTTGTGTTGAAAATATGTGCACACATCAACATTATTCATAGTATGGTAAACCACAGAATTTTAATTAAACAGTTTCAAAGTAAAGCATAAGTACCAAAGAAAAAAAAGTAGCAGAGAAAACAAAAGGAAGTCTGCAAATGGGAAGGAATGTGGGGAAACCACTCTTTGTTTTACTGGGGCTGCAGACTTTCAAGGTAAGCAGGGTTTCCTGCAGACCCTTTCAAATGGAAATTGGGTTCTTGGCAGGTGCCTGTCTGGCTATTTGCCCTAGGTATTGCCCATTTTCTCAGCCCTCCATGAGCCCAAGCTCTAGGGCAGAATATTTGCGTGGACAGTGGCTAACTCCCTGTTGATCTGAAAAAGGCCCGAAATTTTGCTGGAAGTCAAAACTGTAGGATGAGCCTGCCCAACCATGGGCCTGCTCCCTGAGGCTGAAGCAGAAATGGAGGCTCTCTCAGCAGCTCTGCATGGGGAGGGAAACTGAGGATCTTGGTGGACGGAAGGTGGTGCTGGAACAGCTGTATGATGAACAACTTGGCAAATCAGGTTGTTTTTCGTAGAAAATTATTTTTAAAAAACATGTGGAGCAGAGATAGCTAAAATACAGCCACTCGCAACTGAAACTGAGGCTTCCTCTTGCACTCACTCACCCCCAGGCCCTTTCCGTCATGTTCCAGGTGCTGATCCCCTTGGCGTGCACATATCCTGTAATGCAGAAGGAGCGAAGATGGGGCCAGTGCGGGTCCTGGCCTCAGGCAGAGTCTCCCTGTCTACCTGCTGGTGAGTGACGTCCTCCACCAGAGTCTCTTCTCAGGGTACTCTCTGGAAGCCCTCCAGTTTTAAAGTTTCTTTTGACTTTGGGGACTGTGTGTCAGAGGTTTACTCCTGGCTCTGTGCTCAGGGTATTCCATAGGGAAATCCATATGCAAAGGCAGTGCAGGGGGGGATTAACCCCAAGTGATGTAGGCAGGTAGACAGGGAGGGCCCCCTCCGGAGGCAACGACAAAAGCCAGCCCTGCAGAAAATAGGGAAACAGGAACTAAGGCTTGATAAGACCCTCACCTGGCTCCAGCAACAGACCCAAAGAAGCTCCTCTAGGAACAAAAGGCCAGGAAAGGAATTTCAAAGAAGACCATCACCACTCCCATCCTCCCTGGCAACCTCCTTAGCAACGGGACATTTACCTGGGAAGAAACCCCACGTGGGGGCAGGTTGGAGGAACCCTATAAAGGCCACCTTGAACAAAGGAAGGGCACGCATTTGCTGCCCGAGCCCATGTGCTGCTTGTGCCCATGTGGCCGAGCACATGTGGTTCCCGAGCACATGTGTCCCCCCGCATCTCCCCTCTTGAGATGTGTACTCTCATGCTTTCGTGTCTAACTTTACTCTCTCACTCTCTCTCCCTCCCTCCATACCTAAAAATCCTCCAAATAAAATCTATTTACTTCACTGCTTGTCTACTCCTGAAATTCCTTTCTGCGAGGTGAGACAAGAACCCAGCAACCCTGGGTCCCGAGTGGCAGAGGCGGATGGGGAGAAAGTGACTGTCTTTCTCCTCCCCGCTTCACATAAGTCACCCGTGGGGCCCACCGACATCACAAGCAGAAGGGGATGCGCCCAGCCCTGTCACAGCAGCTGTTTGCAGTACTGGGAGTGGTGGCCAGGGCCAGGAGGCTTGCTTCACTAACGCTGTTCTCTGTGGCTTCCAGAAGCTGCTGTCTTCCTTGCTTGGCACTGCTCGCGTCAGCCTGCCAGGCACCAGGTTCTGGGCTCAGTGGCCTCCAGCACCATCCTGAGACTCACCCTGGGGACAGGCTGGGTGAACACCGCGTGTGGACCTCGGCTGGGACTCTGGCCAGGTGAGTACACCGGCGATCACCACACGGAGCAGGGACTCGGAAAGTCAGCACCTGCTGTGCACACGGCCCATGCTAAGGCCAAATAATGTAGACATACGTGTATGTGTGTGTGTATGTGTATATGCATATATATGCAAAACCCAAAGAAGAATGTTTGTTGCCTGCTTGCCTATTTCATTCCTAACAGAGCCTGAATCAACCTAGCCAGATTGACATCTCAAGGTAGGTCCTCTTCGACGTGAAAATAGTTTACTAGGTAGTGCAACACTTCAGATGATTTTTAATATCTTAAATGTGTTGGAACTACAATTTGCCAAAATAAGAACACTAAGTGGTTAAAGTAGAACTGCAGTAAATTAGAACATCTCTCCTGTCTGTGGAGGAAAAATAGATCTAGGTGAAATCCAATTCCTTGGAACTGAATACATTTTTGAACCCTAATTCATTTTCCTTGCAATTTATGCATCTGGCGTTATTAAAATATTCATATCTCTGAGCTAACGTGCCATCACAAATTTAATTTGCAAAACAGAGATACCATGAATAGAATATGATCCATAATCACTTTTTCTGGGCTTTGTGTCGAAGGCACTCTTTGAGAAATACAGATAACTCGGTTCTCTCGTGTAACTCTGCAACAACATTTTTCCAAATAAGTACCATTTTAGGAAATCATGATGTAATAGCCTCTCAGGATCCAAAATTTAAGAATTACGTACACACATATACAAACATTTATATGTGTACACGTATATCACACATATCGTATATGTATACACAGATGTGTACACATGTATAAATATACAAAAACACATACATATGTGAGTATAGCCAAATACATATATATGTAGTGACACATTCACAGGCATATACATAGAAGCACACTTGCGCACACAAAGATATAGAGACACACAGGCATATATATAGATACACAAAAGTGCACACACACAGACATACAACACATACCCAGAGAAACACACATATACACATAGACACGTGCACAATAGAGAAATACATATGCACACAGACATATACACAGAAACACACATACCAACACATATACAGACATATACACATATGCACACATAGCCACACAGCCACACTGAAGACATACAAACACATGCTTGCACATGGAGACACAAACATATATTCACACATATGCATGCACGCATTCATATACATAGACACAAAACATGCAAACAGACATGCACATACAGACACAAAGACACACACACATATATACACAGATACACAGACATATGTAAACAGACACACAGATATGCATAGACATAAACACAGGCACGCACCCAATGCACACACAGAAACACAAACACATACATATACACAGGCACAAAAATGTAAGCAAAATCACAGAAACACTCAGAGACACACAAACATAGATAGAAAAGCACATGCATATAGACATGCAAAGGCACACAGACACGCAGATGTGTACATAGACACACAAGCACACATAGACATATGTACAGACACAGATATTTACATACAGACACATGTGCACACAGGGACACACATAGACATTTACATAGACAGATGCGTGTACACACATAGACATAAACACATACACAAATATACATAGATACACAGATTCACACACATGCACTCCCACAGACACAGACATATACACAGGCACAGACACACATGCACACACACAGACATAAACAGGCACACACAGAAAACACAGATTCACATGCAGATATTTCGACACACATACATATACACAGAAACAAACACATGACAGAGATAACACACAGATGCACACAGAAAGAGACACACAGACATACAGACACAAATACACAGACATGCAGATACATATAGACAGACACACAGAGAGATGGACGGATAAACACATGCACACAGAGACATACAGACACATTTACAGATATATACACAGACAAACATATGCACACAGACATATACAGAGACACA